TTAGCTTTTGCTTGTCTGTAAAGCTTTTGATTTCTCCATAGAATCTGAATGAGATCCTTGCCGGCTAGAGTAGTCTTGGTTGTAGGTTCTTCCCTTTCATCACTTTAAATATATCGTGCCACTCCCTCCTAGCTTGTAGAGTTTCTGCTGAGAAATCAGCTGTTAACCTTATGGGAGTTCCCTTGTATGTTATTTGTCATTTTTCCCTTGTTGATTTTAATAATTTTTGTTTGTCTTTAATTTTTGCCAATTTGATTACTATGTGTCTCGGCGTGTTTCTCCTTGGGTTTATCCTGTATGGGACTCTCTCTGCGCTTCCTGGACTTGGGTGGCTATATCCTTTCCCATGTTAGGGAAGTTTTCAACTATAATCTCTTCAAATATTTTCTCAGGTCCTTTCTCTCTCTCTTCTCCTTCTGGGACCCCTATAATGTGAATTTTGGGGCATTTAATTTTGTCCCAGAGGTCTCTTAGCCTGTCTTCACTTCTTTTCATTCTTTTTTTCTTTATTCTGTTGCATGGCAGTGAATTCCACCATTCTGTCTTCCAGGTCACTTATCCGTTCTTCTGCATCAGTTATTCTGCTATTGATTCCTTCTAGTGTACTTTTCATTTCAGTTATTGTATTATTCATCTGTTTGTTCTTTAATTCTTCTAGGTTTTTGTTAAACATTTCTTGCATCTTCTTGATCTCCGTCTGCATTCTTTTTCCGAGGTCCTGGATCTCCTCACTATCATAGTTCTGAATTCTTTTTCTGGTAGGTTGCCTATCTCCACTTCATTTCATTGTTTTTCTGGGTTTTATCTTGTTCCTTCATCTGGTACATAGCCCTCTGCCTTTTCATTTTGTCTATCTTTCTGTGAATGTGGTTTTCATTCCACAGGCTGCAGAATTGTAGTTCTTCTTGCTCCTGCTGTCTACCCTCTCACCATCATGTAACATTTAGTGTTTGTCTGGTAGAACAGAGTGCCATTTCCCAAATTTGGCACTGGTAAAGAGGTCAGCTTAAAGAACCTAAGAGAAAATTTAAAAGGCATTCACTGTTCTTGATGAAAGCAAATGCTTCCATTATGTTCATTGCTATTACAAGAGATTTATTCAGTCTGGTTCGTAAAATCTCTATTTCAGTATTTTCTTTCAATCAATTTGATGGATTCTTTTAAAATTCTTCCTTAATTAAAAAAGAAAATTCAGAATTTTTTCAGAAAAAAATCTTTTTAATGAAAATCATGACGATAAGTTACAGCACATGTTTAACCATATTTATATAAATACCATTATGTAACTTCCTTTTTGCAAGGTGATCATAAAAAGATAGGTGTACTTTCCCCTGAGGGCTATTGATTTAGAAGAGGAAAGGGGCGGAAGACAGCAAGAACCCTTTCCACTATATTGATTTGGAGGTCCAAATACAAGTATGTAACAGTGAATACATGTTAAAGTGTGAGAGAGATAACTCTAAATTTATTGGTATGTGACATTTTGTCATTATTTGAAATAATGAGCCAAGTTTAGTTTGTGCTTCACTTACGTTCTAGATGTTTGGAGCTGTAAAGCATAATAAAGACCACTCAGAGACCAGTGGTATTTTCAATCCTGGTTGCCCATTAACATGACCCACCTAGCATGCTACTAGAAAAATATCAATGCCAGGGACACCATGCAGACCAAATCTGAATATTGGGGTCCATATGTTAAATGAGTACACATACCTACAATTTTATAGTTGAGAATGATTAGAGAAATTTCCTCATCCAAAGTGAAAAGCAAATTAGTGGCAGAGTGATTTTTTTCTTTCTTTAAAAAAAATTTATCATAATTTTTTTCATCTATTTAAAAATTTTTTTTATTGGAGTGCAGTTGATTTACAATGTTGTGTTAGTTTCTGCTCTACAGCAAAGTATCTCCACTCCTTTTTAGATACTCTTTCCAAATAGGTCATTACAGAGTATTAAGTAGAGTTCCCTGTGCTCTACAGTAGGTCCTTATTAGTTATCCATTTTATATATAGTACTGTGTATATGTCTATCCCAATCTCCCAATTTATCCCTCCCCCCCTCCCCCCCCCCCCCAGTAACCATAAGTTTGTTTTCTACATCCGTGACTCTCTTTCTGTTTTATAAATAAGTTCATTGATTTTTCCTGTTAACCTAAACCATCTTCTGGCTTGGTGGCAAAGGAATTAACAGAAATTTAACTCTCCATGATATAGGCCAGAACATCATTTTTCATTGTATGGGTACAAGTTTCTATCGTTTGGGCAGTGAAGGTGTTTGGATCTGTGACATATTGCATTAGAAACGTAATTCCATTCATCAGCTAAAAGTCTGTTTTTTTGTTAAAAGATCCATCCTAATTGGGTAAGAAGAAATTCTCCAGCACTAAATGAATATGCTTCATCTGCAATATCTTCCCCTCCCTCTTCCCTGAATGTCCTGGTATTCCCCATTGATCTAAGTTAAGCTCAAATCCCATCTATGCCATAATGTTTTACCTGCCATGATAGCATTTATCCACAGTACTTTCTCATTCTGCAACTCTGTTTGCGATTAACCAATGACTCTTAAGGGATGGGCAATGGCCACCTTTGGAGCAAGAAGACCCTCCAGATGGGCCTCAAATTGATTTGAAAATATAAGTTCTTTATTTATTCTCATTAAAAATTACGTAAGGGGTTTCCCTGGTGGCGCAGTGGTTGAGAGTCCGCCTGCCGACGCAGGGGACACGGGTTCGTGCCCCGGTCCGGGAAGATCCCACATGCCGCAGAGCGGCTGGGCCCGTGAGCCATGGCTGCTGAGCCTGCATGTCCGGAGCCTGTGCTCCGCAACGGGAAAGGCCGCAACAGTGAGAGGCCCGCGTACCGCAAAAAAAAAAAAAAAAAAAAATGTAAAATTTGACACATTTTTATGTTCAACTGACATACTAAGGGAGTTATTAAAACCTACAAAAATTTGGTACTCATAAACTAAAATTGGCTTATTATTACTAAGGTGTTAAAACCAGTATAATACCAAGAAGTCTGATGTCCACACAAATCTAGGCCTCATTCATTCATTCTTTCATTTATTAAGTGCCTACCATGTACTAGGTAGGAGTCTAGGCTCATATTAAAATATTCTTACTACGCATGCACACACGGATATTTGAAATTCCTGCCAATTGTGGGAAGGACATTTGTTAGCATCGTATCATCGGTTGTCTTGAGGTGGCTGTAGATTGCAATTGCTTCTACTCTTTTTAGTTCTTAAGTGATAAATTACTGTTGGTTTAGCTCTATTTGATCTTTTATTGACTACCATACAGCAGCTAGTGATGAATACCTGCACCAGCAGTAGTTTCGACTGAAGCATTTCAATAATCAGCTCGTAGGAATGCGAGTCAAGCGTGCCTCTCTTTCATATTTATATCTCAACACCAGATTTGTATATACCACCCTCCAAGCTAAAATTACTTGTACACTGACTTTTCATTATGTTCATCTAGTTTTTTTGCACAGAAATTTGAAAATGGTTAAAGTAAATGATCTTGGGGTCTGTCGCTCCACCTAAATGTAGGACGTGGTTAGAAAAGTGTAATAACTACTGGTCTAAACCACTCCATGGGTTCCTAGTTGCCTGTTTTCTCTAATATTCATTTGGGCACTTTATCAACTTACATCTTAAATTCACTGGACTGTAATCTCCTGTAGATAGGGGTCCTGTCTCATGACTCCATAGTACTCTGCCTGATGCTGACATGTTGACATGTCCTTAATGAATATTTGATTGATTGATTTTCTTAATGATTCACACAGAATTGAACCTAATGCCCAAAGCTCAGTCATTAAGGCAAGACTGTGTAAGTGAACACATCTGTTTTATTCCTTGATGCATGTACATTTATTAAGATGCTTAGTTAATTTAAATTAATGTCTTAATAATTTTGATAGAATTTTGACTCTGGTGAAGTAGAAAATGTAATAGGTAAAAACAAATTAAAAAATCAAGAAATGTTAAAAATTCCTGATGCTTACCTAGCTCCCTATTGAACCTCATTGTCATACTAGGAATTATGAGTTATTAATATATGTGTAGTCTTTTTAAAATAAATTTATTTATTTATTTTTGGCAGTGTTGGGTCTTCGTTGCTATGCGTGTGCTTTCTCTAGTTGTGGCGAGTGGGGGCTACTCTTCGTTGCAGTGCACGGGCTTCTCATTGGGGTGGCTTCTCTTGTTGCAGAGCATGGGCTCTAGGGTGCGCGGGCTTCAGTAGTTGTGGCACACAGGCTCAGTAGTTGTGGCTCACGGGCTTAGCTGCTCTGCGGCATGTGGGATCTTCCTGGACCAGGGCTCGAATCCATGTCCCCTGCATTGGCAGGTGGATTCTTAACCACTGCGCCACCAGGGAAGTCCCTTGTATGTGTAATCTTTAAGGGATGAAATTACTAATAAGAAAACTAAAATAATAAAAGCCAGAATTACAGCTCAGAATTAATGGTTTTGTAGACAAGTTGGAGTCACCTGACATTTTTATTATTCATATCATTCCAAAATAAGATGAACTGAGCTGATGCACATCAGGTGGAAGCTACAGTAACAAGATGTATTTTAGGAGAAAACAATTTAAACAAAGTTACTTAATCCTAGTGCATTAAATCAAATCATCCATATTCATCAACATTTTGGACTCAGTGATATAGAAAAGTATAAAAGGGAAGACAAAAGACATGCTGACAAGTGGCAAATCAGTAGGATGACTGTGAGTTCACAAGGTTTACAAATAATGGCTTCTTTTTCTGTATTAACAAACTGGAATAAATTAGCTACATCATTTGGATTCCACTTTGATTCCCAATTACTGCTTTATTTCTTTAAAGAAAAATGGGTGCAAATATTATAATGTGACTTTAGGCACTGAAAACATCAGTTTTTTTTAGGATGACTTTCTAGTTCACTCCCAGTATTTCACCGACAAATTCTCCAAGAATATCTGTTAGTTCTATTTTCTAACCGCCACCTACCTCGTATTACAAAACCAAAGGTATTGCCTTCTTTATGTAACGTGACCTCCACCGTTCGGAAAATAACACTCGATCCTTGAACAGCTGAATGCAGGAAAGAGAGAGGAAATATAAGTCTTACATCATAATAACATCTCTGGATTTTTTGATAGGCATAAAATACTACAGATCCCCTGTCGCAAATAATTCTTGTTGAGTAATAAAACAGCAAAAAAGTCTGTTTTTAAAGAAAATGTTACAAAAAGTAATTGGAATGACATACAAATACCATAAAATAGTCATGTGCATAAATGACTTATACAGGTCCAGGTGGAATCAAAATCAGAGATACTTCCTTTCCTCCTGTGTAGCCAGTTTTTAGACAGAGCATAATATTCACATTGTTAAAATTCTATATAACAAGAGAGACAATCTTCATATGACAAACAGAATTGTTTTCCCTTTGTATAATGCAAAAATAATATGATTTTTATAAAACATATGAAATAATTATTGTCTTTATATTTATTTTTGCAGCTAGAACAAGAAGGAAAAGTATTACTCTCAGATGACCATTAATAGGTTAAGCTGATGCAAACTGATTTTCTGACATGATGCATAGCAATTAAACAAAGACAACAGCAACCTGAATGAAACTTGGAGAGAAAAAGAAATTCGAAGTACATTCAAAATATAATTACTGACTAATAAAATAAAGATCTACTTAATTTTACTTGATACTGTCATGCTTAGGTTGTGTTTGCCTCATTATTGATCTCATTTCACAAAATGAAATTCCATTGCCAAGTTGCTATCTCTAATTACATTATACACGAGGGGATAAGTTATATGAAGTTATATGAATAGTAACTAAACTACCCTTAAAGACTTTTTTCAAGAAACTAGTGAGTAATTCTGATTATACAGTATACTCTTGCTAGATTTAAAAAAATATTTTATCATTATGGATACAAGGATATTTTTATTCATGGAGACAAGGGTTGGCAATCTACAGAATTTGATGGTCTTAGCTCCTTGTCTTGAATTTGTACAGTGATGTTCAATTGTCTAAGGCTGTGTTCATTATCAATGACACATTTTTTACGTTGTTACTAGATCCTGAAGGGCTTATTACATCAAGCCGTCAACAAGAAACATACAGACAGAATTTAAAGGTATCTTTGAAAAGAACGTTTCTTGCCATTGACAGAAGTAGGAAGTAATTTTAATTAAGCATTAATTATAATTATTTTTTAATTATCAGAAATTCTGAATCCTCAAAGGAATGGACATGATTATGAAAAGTACACAGTTAAATTCACAAAACTGCACACAGCCAGCTGAGACATAATGTACAATAAGAACTTGGATCTGCTAAAAAAACAACATAAACCTACAGCTGAACAAAATGTTTTGGTACGCTGCTGATTTAATTAAATGTCATATTCTTGCTATCAGGGGAATTTCAGTTTATTCTAATCAGCTAGGAACAGTGCATACAAATAGCTGAAAGTGTTGAGGCACGGTTTTAATTAAATGTAAAAAACTGAGTTCAAACCAAATGTTTTCTTATTTCCATGACCCAACAAGCCACTTGAAGAAACTGGTTAAGAACATGATCTTTCTGTTCTATTAAGGAAAAGATATGGAGAGAAGTAATTAATGAGCATCTACTGTATGCAAGGAACTCTGCAAAGTGGTTTACAAATTTTATTTCATTTAATCATTAAATCAACTTTCAGTTATATACAACTAAATTCTAATTCTGGGCCACCTGTCCTTGTTGGCTGAGTGTCTGTTCTGGGGATGCAAAGCACTGTAATTTCAATTTTGCTTGAACTAAATCTTGCTGACCATAAAATCTTACAAACAAATCTAAAGTCAATATAAAGACTTCGGGGATTATCTACAGCTTTAGATTATCCACACTCTTGCTGTTCATCATTTACAAAGATAAATGGGAATGTTGACTAAATTTTAATATATTTAATGAAATAGATTTGGTCTTTATAATTTATATTTGCGTGAATGGCTCTTGGCGACTAGGTTTTCATATTCAGCACCAGACATCCTGTTTGGCCACATGAATTTTACTCATTACTTCACATGTGTGTATGTGGACATAGAGATCCAATTAAGGGGCTTATCCAAAAAATCAAACTGGGCACATAGGAAGGCTAGGTAGAAACCAATTATATAATGCAAAAATACTCCTCCCTAGTATTTTAGTTGTACTGTTGTCCCTTGTTTCTATATGTGCATATGCATATACTTCTATAACATAAAGTGACATTCCCTATTTTATTATGGTGGATTTGGTTTTTCTAAATTATCAATATATACTATTTCCCATAGGAGAATAGGAGTTGTGCACTTTCCCACCTCATTACATTGGGTTTGCACAGCTGACTTGCTTTAGCCAATGGGGTGTTAAGACACGTGAGCAGAGTCTGGAAATGTGCTCCTGTGGTTGGGCTTGTCTTGTTTTCCCTCTGCCACTGTCACAGGAAGAGCTTCCCCTGGGTAGCTGATGCTTCTTCAGACTACATCCCAGAATGAACCATGGGGAGGAGACCTGGGACGTCCACCACGCCACACCTCCCCACCATATCATCACCATCATCACCATCTATCATCTGTCTTTCTTAGAATTAGAAATGAGAAGTAATAAGGCTGTCACAGGAACATGCTTTAACACATTTATTTGAATTAAGGAAGCATTCCTTCCAATAAAAAGCTAGTCTGATTTAGCTGATGGTTTAACGGTGAGGACCGCCTTTGACAATAAGACTCTGTGGCAGATGTTTTCCATAAAACAAACGAGGTAAATCTGTAGCTCCAAGGTTTGAGTGGAAATGGTATACAAAGATGTATAAAATAAACATCGTGCTAAAAATTATATCCTATCCAACTACTGAAGTTTATCATAAAGAATTTTAGGTGTTAAAAATTGGATGAGAATTATGTAATATTTCAAAATTCTTTAGGGGTTATGCGACCCGAAAATTTGAAGGCACTCTTCTAGACCAACTTTGAACACGCTAATACTCAAGACACAGCCTGGTAACATTCTCTCTAAATACGGTCTCAAAACACCACATAATTTTATAAAGTCAAAAAGAACTTTAGAGCTCATGAAGATCGACTATTTCATTTTCACTAAGAGACTGAATCTCAGAAAAGGTAAGTGGCTTGCCCAAGGTCAAAGTTCCATTTTTGTTCTATCAGATCTCTGTCTCTGTACCATTCTCTCTCTCTGTCTCACCCTCTCTCTCACCCTCTCTCTCTCTCTCACCCTCTCTCTCTCTCACCCTCTCTCTCACCCTCTCTCTCTCTCTCTCTCTCACCCTCTCTCTCACCCTCTCTCTCACTCTCTTTCTCTCTCTCTCTCTCTCTCTCTCTCTCTCTCACACACACACACACACACACACACACACACACACACACCTTCCTCCAATTCTTTCTGGGATTGGTTGAGCCTTAGATTGCTGTGAGAGTTCCAGTCTCGGTCTCGGGTGGCCTACCTTTCATCAGGCAGCTCTCCTCCTGGGCCCTCACTGCTGCTGGCTCACTCCTGTTCGGGCTGTCTAAGCTCAGTGAAAGGGAGGCTTATTAATCCCTTCAACCTCCCTGAACTCACAGATCTTATCAATTTATCTAACATAATAGAAGGAGACACAGATAATCCTTGGCGAATAGACCTCTTCTATCTGATTTCTACCACAAAATTCACACTTTTGTGTTTAAAAATATTTTCTCTTTTTCCATCAGCTTTACTGTGTGAGGGAGGAAAAGCTGGTATAATCACCAACCCCTGAATATTTCTGATGCCCACCCTCTCCTCTTTAACCCTGCTAATGCTATAGTTATTCAGGATATTACCTCTCTTTTGGGAAATTATAACAGCCTTGGGGCTTATAGCCTCTGATCTGTTCTCCATTTGACCTCTTAAAATAAGTCTAAACACCCTGATCTGATGATGCTGTTCCTTGGCCTTAAAAGCTTTTAAAGGCTCCTTATTGCCCACTTGACACCATCCACACTCTACCCACATGGTTTATGAGGCCCTCCTTCACTTGGTTTCTGTTTACCTCACTGGCCTCATACCTCTCTAGGCCCTCTCTTTCCCTTTGTGTTCCAGCAACTCCAAACCGTTTGCAGTTCAACCTACGTACTGGACTATCTTCTTACCTCCTTGCCATATCCTGTGCCTGGAATGTTCGTCTTCCTACTGGACCTACATAAACTCCTTCAAATCTACCCCGAAATCCCCAGCTCTGGATTATCTGGATTTGCTTGGTAATACTCAGCAAATCTCCACTACTGGCCTCACCCTGAGAGCTATACTAAGAGTTCCTCTTAGGGAGAGGTTGTGTTTTATGGATATTCATCTACCCACTAGAATACAAATGCTTAATCAAAGAGCATTAGCTCTAGATATCTGACTCCTCTTAACTCCGTAGCAGTGGTTTAAGATAGTGATTTCAAAGCAAACTGACGTTCAGTTAAAGAAAACACAGTACTTTCAGTGTAGTAGTAGTAGTAATAATGATAATGGTAATAGTGGCTAAGATGCACTATGGCTTAGTGAGTATGTGCTTATGATCTTAAACACTTTACAGGATTATAGCCTTGAATTCTTACAAAAATTCGACATCCATTATAGTTGTTTCATAGCTGAGAAACCTACGGCTCAGAGAACTTAAATAAAATGCCCAAAGTCACAAAGCTAGAAAGGGACAAAACTGACATTTAACTAGTGACACGGCCCAAGCTCTCAACACTCTGTTTTACTGCCTGCTCTTAATGAAAATGAAGAACATTGTAGCAAGGTTTCAGAACACAGATTCCAATGGATTTTGTTGTAAAATCACCATTAGATTCTCAGTGTTAGATTTTAGGTTAAGAATAAGAACTTATTGGTACGTACACTCAACTCTGAGTGCTGTCATCTGGTCCCAAAGCTTCAAACACCATCTATAGTCCCATTACTCTTAAATTTACATTTCTAGTCCAGATCTTTCTCCCAAACGCCAAACCGTATCTCCAGCTCTCGTCTTAACATTTTCTCTCAGCGTGGCAAATAGGCCCCTTAACTGTAGCATTTCAAACAACAAACTACTGATCTTCTCCTCGCAAGTCAGCTCTGCCTGCATTCTTACCCACCCCCGTTAATGGCAACTCCATCCTTCCAGTTGCTCAGACTCAAAACCCGCTGTGGGCCTTCACTCCTCTCTTTCTGCACAACCCACATTAAATTCATCAGGAAATCCTGTTGGCTCTATCTTCAAAATAGACGAGGGATATGAGTGCTTGTCACCATCTCCACCACCATCTTTTATCTGAATCGCTGCAATAGTCCTCCAAACTTCTACCCTCGTCCCTGCAGTCTATTCTCAACACAGCAGCTAGAGGAGCCTTTGAAAACATACATCAGATCATGTCACTCCTCTGCCCCAAATCATACAATGCCTTCCTGCATGATTCAGAGCAGAACTTAAGGCCCCTCCAATGACCTACACAGACGCTCCTATCCTTTACACTTCAGACCACCTCCCCCCACTTCTCTGCATGCTTACTCTGCTCCAGCACACCGCCCTTCTTAATGTTTCTAGAACAATGCCAGATATGTTCCTGCTTTTGATCTTAGCACCGGCTTTTCCTTCTTTCTGGAACTCTTTTCCCCCAGAAATCCATACAGCTAACTTCCTCACCTCCTTCAAGTCGCTGAGTAATGTCACTTTCTCAATGAAGCTGCTCCTAACCACTCTATTTAAAATTGCAATCCCATCCCCAGCCCAGCGCTCCCAACCCCCCTCCTTGCTTATTTTCCTTTTTCCACAGCATTCATGACCCATAACATTCATACGACACACAGCTGACCCTTGAACAACATGTGTTTGACCTGCATGGGTCCATGTATATGTGGATTTTTTTCCACAGTAAACACCACAGTACCGCACTATACCTGGTTGGTTGAATCTGCAGATATGGAAGAAACTTGGTTTTGGAGGAGCCACATATAGGGAGGGCCAACTATAAGTTATGCATTGATTTTCAACTGCGCAGAGGGCTGGCACCCCTAACCGCCTTGTTGTTCAAGGGTCTATTTTAATTAACTTATTTACTGTGGTTTTATTTTAGTACCTGTCTTCGCCTGCTAGAATATAAATTCCACCGATGTACTTTGTGGGGACTGGAACATAGTAATGCCAATAAGTCATTGCTAAACAAATGAATTATTATCGGTTAGTAATAATCAGTCTGAGTTCCCAGTAGTACAGAAGAGCAAAGAGCTGACTTTGATGCCTACTAATTTGGGAAAGATATTTAACTTAAGTCTCTGTAAAATGAGAATAATAAAGAAAATAATGCCTATCTTACAGTTTTGATTGATTTATATATTTATTATTTAACAAAAACTTTTATAGTGTCGGGCACTGTCCTAAATGCTATACAAAACCTAACTCATTTAATCCTCATAACAGATCTGTGAGTAATACCATAGATTCCTAATATCATCCCCAGTTTTCAGATGTGCAAACTGAAACACAAGAAGCTTAAGTAACTTTCTCAAAGGCATGTAGCTAGTAAAGTTAGAGCTGGGATTTAACTGGCTATTTTTTTTTTTTTTTTTTTTTTTTTTGCGGTACGCAGGCCTCTCACTGCTGTGGCCTCTCCCGTTGCGGAGCACAGGCTCCAGACGCACAGGCTCAGCGGCCACGCCTCACAGGCCCAGCCGCTCTGCGGCACATGGGATCCTCCCGGATCGGGGCACGAACCCGGGTCCCCTGCATCAGCAGGCGGACTCTCAACCACTGCGCCACCAGGGAAGCCCTTAACTGGCTATCTGACATCAGAGTTCAGCTCTGCTATGCTGACTTTCTTTGTGGTGAGGATTTAAGTGTACCAATAAAAGGGGCTCCTTATAATGCTGGACATTTAGTAAGCTCTCAAAATATGTTGGCTGCGCTTTTATTATGTCTATTATTATTACTTAACAATGTATTCTGATTCTATTTTCATGCTTCAGAAATGAACATAACTATACAAGAATCAATAGAAATCACGTTAAACATGCTTTTCCTAAACTTAGTCACTTAGTACAAAGCCTGGATGGAACTTAATTCACAGAATTTATAAATATGAGGACAGTTCATTAAAATAGCTTAAGTACAATTATGATGTTCACAGATGGCCTTAATGAAATATGAGTCCTAGAAAATTTCATCATTATTTATGCTCTTTTACATTCTTCCTGAGTAGGCTATAGCAATTCAAATAAGTTTTAAATATTAAGAAACTATACTCTACCGTTCCTGTAATAAGACAATGATGGCAAAAGAAAAAGATAGGAACCAATAGTTTTAGGCCAAAACGTGGTGCAGCTGTTCTGCCCCTGGCTTGTGATGACTTACAGACTGGCGGCAGCTCATACTCAACTTCAAGAACCACTCTTTCCCCGACATTCTTCAGCAAGCTGATGATCTCATCGTGGCGGAATTTGGCCAGGTTGATGCCATTCACTGCTTTGATATAGTCACCCACATCCAGCTGATCACTTCTGCAGAACAGAGAATGTCACCTCAGTGGACCCCTCCTTTCCGCAAGCCAGTCTGACCATACTTCCCTCTTCCCCATCATGGATAAGCATGCAAGCCCAGAATGCCGACGCAGCTGGAGTCCTGGCTCCTAGGATGTGGCTGGTTCCTAAGAGCGGGTGAGCAGCGGAGGGTGGATGAGAGGGACTCAGTGGATCCCTCTTCTCATGCTGACTGCACACTTCGGAAGTCCTGTACTGGGTCTGCTGCTGTCTCCAATTTCTTCCTAACCGTCTACCTCTTTTACTTTTAAGGAGCACCGTAAAACAAAATAAAGAGAAAGTTATCTTTAGTTGCTCTGCCCATAAAGAGGTGGTGCTCTTGGGGCAGATTATCCAGATCCTGGACACACTAGAATTTTCCCTTTCTTCTCATTCCCTCTCATTTTTGCTGCCTGCCTTTTGGACATTTCACCACTTTTGGTATCTTCACTGGGAGTGTGTCCAGGGCCAACCAGAGGGTGAGCTTATTTTGCTATTTATTGCTTATAGTGGGACTAATAAAAAAAGTATTGGTGAAGAAGAAAGTGCAACGAAAGCACTGGCTTTCAGTAACATTCTCCTATCTTCACCATCGTAATAGAACCTTGGCTACTCTGGGGCTTTTAGTCAACCTCTACTTTTAAACCAAGAGCAGGCAGCAAGAACTATGATAGGACTTAATTCAATAATATTTTCTCCCCAGATAAAAATACCAAGTTCATTTGTTTTACATAAACCCAGCTCCAATCATTCTTCCTTCGAAGCCTCCGTAATCCGTTCTAGCCAGCAGTACGTGCTGTCACTCTTAACTCAGGTTTACTGACTGACACTTATTTGGCAACTTAATTGCCTAATGCTCTGTGACAACCCTTATGTTGTTGCTTTTTACTATTATGCAATGCGATTATTGCTCCCAAACTTTTCATGTTTTTTATACCTTATTTCCCCCAATAGATTATAAACCCTCCTAGGGCAGGGATCTTATCTTTACTTATTTTGGTTTACTACCTGTTAAATGGTAGTGGCTTAAATAATAAATATTTGGTGATCGATAATACTCAACATAACTGGCACAGCGCTACATTTAATTATAGCATCAATACATGTGAAAACCACGTTCTTACCCTCTCCCCTGCCAATCACACTTGCTTTAGGGGCTACATATGCAGAAGCCCTGGAGACACAGGAAGTCCTAGCATCATGGATTGGCCACGACTGTTAAAAGTTAAAGGAGGCTATGGTGTGGAAAGAAATCTCTTAAAAATCATAAAGAAAAAGAACAGAAAAAAGAATGTATACATGTATAACTGAATCTGCGGTACAGCAGAAGTTAACACAACATTGTAAATCAACTGTCCTTCAATCACAAAAAAAATAAAAGTGCAAAAAAAAAAAGAAAAAAAACCCGAAGGAAGGAGACTAAGGTGCTTGGGTTAACATCAGCCTGTTTTACAAACAATTCCCCAGATCATGGAGCAATCAACTGGATTGAGCTTATAAACTGTACCAACAGGCTGATCATCGAAAGTAATCACTATTTCAGGTGACACTTTATAAGTTAAGAACTCTAAAACTTAATTTGTGCTTATGTGGACACAAATATTGGTGTCCAGGATTTAAGGGACATTAACCTCACTTTGAATGAAACCTGGGCATTCCACCCCCTCTTTCTGAGGTAGATTTAGAACTTGTCTGCCAAGCGAACCTACCGCTGGCCAGCACCCAAGACATTCTGCTGTCAGCAAGACACAGTGCAATCTGCAGTTCATCAGAACAAGGACAAAAGGAGACCTCCTCACCCAAGCCTTCTGTCCTTCTGGAAACCACCTCTTTGTCTTAACGAAAGGAAAATCTCACAAGTAGAAAAGTTGAGAATATGCAGGAGAGGCAAAATTGGCACTTAGAAACTTGGAGTTGGGCCTCCCTCATTTTCTAGGCTTGTCATATCCCTCTGTGGCAGCTTCCCCTTATCCACAGCATATGCGTCATCTGTTCCCCATTAGATGATCGGACCATCTCACTCCCACTGCAGCCTGTCTGCTGTTCAGTGGCAATCTGAGGACTAGATCCATACAGACACTTTAAAATTAAAATCTCAGGAGAGCCTGGCTGCTCCTGAGAAGACATGAGAGCTCCCTGGTGACTCTGGCACAGGCCAGAAAAGCCATGCTTCTGAAACGTGCCCCCCTATGCTTCTGCCCCGCAGATAGCAGTGTCGTTTGTTTACTAGTGACCTTTTCTGATGGGAGCTTTAACTTTTGAATTAATTACATCATGCATTCCTTTTTCTACGTTTCCACACAATGCAGTTACCTAGCAGCAATTCCTCCCTGCCGCAGATTAGATACTCTTGGCTTGCCATCCTTGTCAATTCCACCCGAGACCGTCAGCCCAAGGGTAGTGCCTTCCTTCTTCATCAGTTCAACCACGGTGGAGCCCTTGAATTCCTCTGTTAAAAGAAAAGCATCTGGTTTAGTAAATGACAGTAGAAGCGCAAGGGGTTGTTTTTGTGGGTGGTGAAGTGACTCCTCCCCATAAACTCTTTGCACTTTTTCTTTTGTGGGAAAAGATCTGTGGTCTCTTTTCCATTGCAACTTGCAGAGTATCTCATAAAGATGAGCATACAGGTAAAGTGGAGCAGATATTCCATTAGAGGTTATTAAAATGGGTACCAGTGGGGTAGTTCGCTCTAGATTCACAATAGTCTGACACGGCTTATGTACAAGGATAATATTCGCCCTTTGTTTTCTGTCATTCTGAAGTGACTTTCTCTGGTGTCTCTCCTTGTAATTCCAAAGGGAACAATTGAGAGTCATAAGACAAGGGGCTAGAACGGAATTTTAAACAATGATACAAAAGCATATAGTGCAGACTCCAAGTTCCCGATACATTTTTGCTGAGGAAACCAAGTGACACAAGAGAAGAGCTTTCTACAGGTTCAAGAAAAATATTATTGACTTTTTTTTTTGTCTTTCAGAAAACAAAGTACAATAGCTTCATGTTATGACTTACATCATTTCTTACAAAATGTGTCACAGTATGTTAAAGCAGGGTTGGTCCTCAGAATCCCCAGGGAACTTCTGTTAACTCCCCATTCACTACTTTCAAAATTTTAAAATCTCACTGATCTTGTGGGGATAATGTCTACGCACCAAGAGGGAACCCACATCTTTTGATTTTAGGCACTACAGAAAGAAAACTTTAAGACTATCCTTGCTTTCAGAAATAAAAATGCGTCAGTATTTACCTATCCAGAGGCTAACTATGATAAACATTGTTTTAAAATTCTGTTATGTTATCCCCCTCCCTGCATACACTTTCTGGGTAGGGATGGGGAAACTGGACAGTTTTCCAACTCCTCTTGAATCAGGTTATGAATTTCAGGGGTTATGAACTTCTAGGACATCAGAGACACTCATATTAAAATTCAAGAACAGACTTCCTTTTTCAAAGTCTAGGACATCAGAGACACTCATATTAAAATTCAAGAACAGACTTTCTTTTTCAAAGTCAAAAAACCGAAAAGATTACTTACATACTTCTGCCCTTTATTACACATGAGTTAATTATAATTTCAAAATTTATGAATGCTTATCATAAAGGTTTTTAAATTGTGGCTGCTGGTCTACTATCCCATTAGTTGATAAAAAAATCAAATCATGTTAGGGAAAGAAATAATCTCTCATCTGATCTCGTGAGAACAGAGTACTTGGGGAAAGAAGGCAAGAGGAACAGGCCACTGATTTCGATGTAATAATGTCAGTCTAGGCAGGACCTTCAAGATTGCCGGATCCTGTGACCTAAGCAGCCCTGCATACTTCCTTTTTCATGGCAGTTTCAGGACACTGTATACATGAGTTGTTACTGCTCTTTAAAATAGAAGCCAAGGAAGAGTCAGTGAGTGTGAATGATGTCAGCTTCATTTACTACATTTTGAATGAGAGACCAAATAAAGATAGACATTCAAGAAGCAAAATTCTTGTCAAGTCCATAAAAGCACAGGGCCCTTTACATCATTTACCAGGAGCATTTGTAACAAAAGTCCACCACAGTGTGCATTTTACCTAAGCTCTCTTAACACAGAACAGAACAACCCTCTATATATCCCATAAAGACATACATAGGCCCAACTGATAGTTGAAGAGGTCAATTTAACAAACAACCCCTATCAGTCCTCCTTGGCAGAAGGCTAGGCATAAATGATTTTAAAAATAAGGTTAATAACTAAAGGAATGAAAATTACATAATGGATGATGACTTTCCATATTACAGAGACATAATGTATACAACAATTTTACCCAACAAATTATGTGCATTTTCTTTAAATATGTAGATTGACCCTGTATGTTTAAGCGCTTGATTGTAGAGCTTTACTTAAGGAGTTGGGAGCATGGGTTTTTAAGGGCCTGTCTTAAAGGTCAATCAGAAATGCACAAAGAAGCAACTATAAAATAGTAGTAACAGACAAGTGAGAAATAAGTTTCAATTAGTAAGAATTTCATTTGTACTCTGGTTTTCAGGAGCGTGCTTCCTGAATAGAATGGGATACCAGGACATAAGTGCAGCCTTATGGGACGTGGACAATGCAGTTTCCTCCAGAAGGAACCAGGTCCTTCCCAGGTCTCTGGCTGAATCCTGAAAAGCTAGAAAGGCTAAATTCAATTAGTTTGACTTGATCTCTGTTAAAATACAAATCCATCTGGGCTACTTTTTAAACTGGTAATAGTCAATTACCCTCTTGTTTAAAAATATTTCAAATCTTTCCCCAAGAGCTAGTTTAAAAACGCGAAAGAAAGAAAATATTAATGTACCAGTTAACTGAGTAATTTGTGTATTCATTGATTCAAACATTTATTGAGTGCTTACTATGACTCAGACAATGAAACTCAAAGACGGAAAAAGTCAGAGATGCTTAAAGCCCAGTCACAGAGGCAAATGAGTCACAGAGCACCATGCCACAGTGTTGGTTGTGGGGAAGGCGGCCACAGAGGAGATGGTCCTGGCAACAATGTAAAATGAAAACTTGCTGTTCCAAATGCACATCTATTTCACAATTTTATCTTCTGTCTAATCTGTCTGTACTTATCAATCAGGATTAGTGGAGAAGAACAGACCTATGGCAGAATCTAAATTAGGCAAAACTCAGGAGTAAAGACAGAATATTGTTGCAAGAAAGTGTGCCGAATCACAAGAATGTTAACTGCCAATAAGCATCTCTAGTCCCTGAAGGACTGACTAAATCATTTATGGGCGTTTCTGAAGAAAGGAGAAAAGCAGCAGTTTGGAGCGGGGAGGACGTGTTTCTGGCGTTGGCTTTCTGCTAACGTGCGCTCTCCACTAGACTAATCACTATTTTACGTCTTTTCTGGTGCCTAATGCTTGTATAATGATCTCATGGCAAGGAGACATGAAGACAGATGCATTCATTTGCATAAGTTCGCCTGTATATCAAGGCTTACTGAAAAAAGCTCGCGGTTAAACAGTGGAACTTGGGAAAATCAATATATATTGACAGTTTCTTTCTTTGTGATTTAAATTACAAATATCCCTCCCCAAATTAAGAGAATTCTGTAGTAAAGACTGCAGTCTCTCCAAATTAGCAAGCAGCACAGGGAACAGATGATACCCAACTGGCAAGGAATGAGACGGTTCTGGATTTGACGGTTTCCTTAATCACCATATTTAATTATCTTCGAAAAGAAATTGCAGGTTTACATCTGTACCAGCACACACTCAACCAACAAGAATCTCACTGACAGAATGAGATTTAGTTGTCTGCTGTTTTAATTTGGGCTTGAAATTCAATCCTCTTAATTACTGAACTCCAGAAAGTTTTAAGAAAAGTAACAATGGTACCTGGCAAAAACAAGAGAAGTATGAAAAATTCTTGCAAACAAATAAGAAAATTCCGTAACATAGATGGTTAAAAAATTAATATGAAGAAAACCATAGCCTTTTATAAACAAACAACAACTAGTTAGAAGTTAATCACAGAAGAAAAAAAAAAAAACATTTACAATAGCCAAAAACTAAAATCTCTAAGAAAAAAAATTAATGAAAAATATATAAGATCTCTATGAAGAAAACTTCTGAGGGATATAAAACCAGAACAAATGAAAAGGCATCCCATTCATTCATTCAATAAAAACTTAGCACTTACTATATGCCAGGCACTGTTCTAGGCTTCGGAGGTAGAACTCAACCAAACAGAGAAAATCCCTGTCATCTAGGAACTGATATTCCAGTGGGCTCATAGCCCAGTGTAAAAATATGACAATTCTCCCTAAATTAATCTATAAAGTTCACAATATCATTAAAAAATGCCACTAGGATTTGGAGGGCACAGCTATATTTTCTATTATTGCAAAAATGGAACATGTATCCTTGCAAAGATTCTGCGAAAAATTATATTCCTAAAGTCTACCAGCTGACAGTTTAATGTTGCTATGAAAGAACAGGAAGAGACTGCCCAGGAAGCCTCCCTGAACGAGGTGATGAACTACGACTGGATGCTATACCACCCCGAGAGAGATTAAAAAATTAACCAGACACCCCGGAAGCAGGGGCCTAGAGTGGGGAGGCTGGCAAAGCCTCTGTGTCTGCCTCCCAAACACTGGTCAGAGTCCGGATCTATTTAGATGTACAAAAGCAAGAAAGACTGAAAAGAAAACACGTATCATAGGCATAGGGTATTCAGAACCCATATTAGAACACCTTAGTGCTTTGTAATACTAAGATTGTAATGTTTTGCATAGAATCAAGGTACAGCATAATAACCTTATTTTGTTCTGTGAAACTTTTGGTATCTGGAAGTTCTTGCCTCATTGATTATTTAAAAAGTATAATTAGGCTTAGAGCAGGAAAGGGGAGTTACCTATAATTTTTGGAAGGTCCCTAAAATTCAGGGGCTAAATGATCAGGGAATTACGAAGTGAACAACTGTAACAACAGTTGCTGAAAGCGGGGAGACAGACAAAAAGTGATGATTACAACAAAGAGTGATAAGAGCTATGACTAGAGTAAAGAAAGGGCCACCATGGTGCAACCTGGGAGGATCCATCATCAGACTGGGCAAGTCGTGCTCTGGACAGTTCCTCAGAGTTATTCCTGAGCTAGGTCATAAAGAAGGTCTCAGCTCAGAAAACAGAGCGGGGAGGTATTAAAGGCAGAGGAACAAGAAATGATAGATGATTACATAGGTTCTGACGAGTGCAAGTCCATCAGTTCAATTTGCACTTTCTCAGTTCTGGCTGCATTTTAGAATCACCTGGGGAGCTTTGAAAATTTTCAATGTGTGAGCCCACCCCAGATCAAGTCGATCAGAATACCACCCCCAATCGATGGGCAATTTTTTTTTTTTTTTTTTGGTGGTACGCAGGCCTCTCACTGTTGTGGCCTCTCCCGTTGCGGAGCACAGGCTCCGGACGCGCAGGCTCAGCGGCCTTG